CCAGAGGCTTGACTCTGTTGGTGTCCTCTGAATGCACTGGCTGTTTTATCTCAGACTTCTTTGCTTGCCCTATGTCTTCCCATGGACATCTTAATTGTCCAACAGCTTAAGAGACTAGCTGTATATCAACAACCCCAGATTTATTTTCCTAGTCAGACCTTCCTTCAAACTCCAGGCTGAGGTATCCAACATCCCTACTAAAATGTCAAGTGAAGGCCTCCTTGTCCTTTCCAGACCTGCTCTACCCACAGCTGTCCTCTGCCCCAAGCAAGAGCACCTCTGTCTTTACAGCTTAGGTCCAAAACTATGGAGCCATTTTAGACTCTCACATTCCTTCCACTCAGACATAACACATCAAGAGATCCTGTTGGCTCTACCTGCAGAACATACCCAACCACTGATCTTCTCCTCCTTCTCACCCACTCATGAATGCCACCAATCCTATCAGCTAGACTGTCACAGGAACTTCCCAGCTGCCGCTCTGATGCCACCCTTGTCCTCATCCTAAGTTTCTACACTTGAATTCTACACAAAGCAGGTATAGTAGAAAGCACAATAAATATTTTAGAACAAGGCATTAGAATTTTGTACCATCAAAGTCATAGAGGATTCACAGTTACTCTCTCAACAGCCAAGATGTAATGCTTTGATTTTTTTTGAAGCTTTTGTTCCAATCATGCCACTCAAACTTCTCCTGGGAACCCCCACAGGGCTGGCAGAGAGCTTCCTCTGAATTTCTGTCACATCACTCTTTCCTCTCAATGGCTCCTGTTCCTAACTTCGGGGTGCTCATGGGTGAGAGAGGAGACATCCAGCCAACAAGGGCTTTCAAGATCTTGCTGCATCACCTCTGATAGGGTGGGAAAAGGGAAGCTTGGAAGGAGATACGTGAGCCAAGACCTGGAGAAAGGTGAGATATTTAACAGAAGCAAATGGGAGAAGAGGCAACCTAAAGTAAAAAGATCAGTGAGGGACTCAGTAATATTTGGTAAATTCAACTGGATCATTGGGAAATATCCTTTCATGTTTTGTGGATGTTTGATTATATCTACATGGATCCTTAATGAGACTGAGGAAAAGCTCTGATGTCTTAGAACTAGAGAAAAAAAAAAACCAGTTAACCTACAGGATAGGAATAACAGGATTTTATACATTCAAATAGCCTTGTTAGCACTTGCAGATGCTTTTACATACATGGTTTGTCTTGTTTTTCCACAGCTATCTTGTAGAAATACAGAACTTGGTATTCACACTGCCATTTCGCAGATTTAGAAATGAACTGGGTGATGGGGAATGGCTGGGTGGCAACTGGCAGGTATGCTGTTTTTAAACACAGGCTCCTTCTCTTCCTGCTATATTTTGAGATCATTATCTACAAGCTAATGATGAGGTTCTTGGAATGGTTTAGGGGCCCCATAAACTTCCCCACAACTTATATAAAAATTTCTAAGTATTTTTTTCCAGGGCACTGAGTTCTGTATCTTTCATCAGATTTCAAAGGGATCTAGTTCTAAAATGCCTACAAACCACTGCATCATACCATAACCAAAGCTGTGGAAAAGGATCAAAGGAATCCTGGTGTTCATACTGACACCTCTGCTCCAAATGGCCTTTGTGGCCTGGACTAAACCACCTCCTAGGAAATAAGTACCTGGAGAAAAAGAGCCAACAGCTGCTCCCATCCTAGCATAAATAACACCCACCAGCCAGAACCTGAACTCGATTTGTGTGCACTGTTTGGGTTCAGTGCCGCTAAATTTAAAAGATCTTTGCAATTTCAAACATTCACTGTCTGACTTGGATTAAATGTCATTAAAATCTAATTAAGTGACTGCTAGAAGCAAACTCTAAGGAGTTCACCTGGTGGCCAGGTGCTCTTACTCATTTTTTTTTTCATACCAGTGGTTCTCAAACTTTGGGGATGAAGAGATTCACCTAGGTGTTTGTAAGCTCGCTACATCTCCAGTCCTTGCCACAGGCCCTCCAATTTAATCCCTGAGAAGTATTTGCATGCAGTTAAGTGCAGGAAGTTGGGGGAGGAGATTGGAGAGATTTCTAGTGTGTCCCCTTGAGGACAATCTTAAGGACCAGAACCATCTGCACTGGAGTGGGGGCCAGGGTGGCTCTAGGGGTCAAGAGCAGACAGGATTCTTTTTTTTTGGGGGGGGGGGGAGGTCTGGTTGTGGGCTTGAACTCTGAGCCTGGGTGCTGCCTCTCAGCTCTTCAGCTCAAGGCTAGCGCTCTACCACTTGAGCACAGTGTCACTTCCGGCTTTTTTTTTGCTTATGGGTGCTGGGGAATTGAACCCTGGGCTCAAGCATGCAAGGCAAGTGCTTTACCACTGAGCCACCTTCCCAGCCAGACAGGATTCGTATTTTTACATCATGCATGCTGCATGTGCATGACTAGCAGACATGAAGAGAGGAGATGGTATGAGGCTGGGTGATATGTGACAGGTACACTAACTCTGATTTTCAGGAGCTGATCTTCATCCTCCTAAGTGACTGACTGAATTTGCCAACAGACAGGGTCACTTGAGAAGGACTCAAACTCTAAGTGAGGAAGTGGCTGAGCAGATCCTGGGTTCTAGACTATAAGACCCTAAACAGGAAGCCCAGTCCTTCTGCAAGAAGTCTCCAGACACACATAAGCTCTGTGGAAATGAAGAGGTATTGTCTTAAGCCACTAGACCTCTGGTACTTTGCTCTACAGCCAGAGAAAAACTCACATGGATGTTCAGACATCAAAAGGCTGGCCATTCTTTTCAGGAAAAGGCACTGTGAGTTTTCTCTCACAGTCCTGCACTCTTTTTCTTCTCTCGGCCTCTTCATTGGGGTCCCTGGCATTGGTGAAGCCCCAAATAAAGCTCTTCTGTCTCTCGCTGTCCTTGCCAGGCAGGCCCCTTGGCAGTGCCAATAGATTCATCTCTTCCTAGGTATGCCCTAGGGTCAGGCGCCAGGGCTGCTGAAATGAATGAATCGGGGTTATGGCCTTCTTAGAGTTCCCTATGCAGGGCAATGTAGGGTCTGGCAACACCTCAGTGTAGCTTAAATGGAACCACGAGAGCTAATTGTGCCAGGTCTGTTGTACTCAATGTGCATGAATTCCAGCTACTTCCTGAAGATATCAAAGAGAAGAACTGGCTAAATGCTCACTCAACCTCACTACACACCATCTCTGGAGGCTCCCAACCCAACTCTGATATATCACAGATGACCAAGAGATGGCCAGGACCGCTAAGAGAAAGCGAATACAGTCACACTTGTGTCCTACCCCAGGATGATGAAGTGTGGAGGATTTAATCTACCAATTCGCTTTACACATTCTCAAATATTCTCCCCCTTTCTAAAATCCAAACCAATCCCCATTGATATCCCATTGACTTTCACCAAAATATTAGTAATGAATCCTCAGTACACCAAAGGTCTGCTCTAGATGATTATAAAACCCTAGGAGCACCGGGCACTGGTGGCTCATGTCTGTATTCCTAGCTGCTGAGGAGGCTGAGATCTGAGAATCATGGTTGGAAGCCAGACCAGGCAGAAAAGTCCCCATGGGACTCTTATCTCCAACTAACCACTGGAAAAAATAGATCCCCAACAAGAAGTGGCACTGTGGCTCAAGTGGTAGAGCTCTAGCCTTGAGCTGAAGAGCTGAGGGACAGTGCCAGGCCCAGAGTACAAGCCCCATGACTGACAAAATAATAATAGTAATAATAATAATAAATAATTAAAAAAATCCCCAACAACCCAGAAGTAGAGCTGTGGCTCAAAGTGGTAGAGTGCTAGCCTTAAGCAAAAGAGCTCAGGGACAGTACACAGGCCTTGAGTTCAAGCCCTATGACGGGAAAACAAAACAAAAACAAAACCTAGAAGTTAGAAAACACACACAAAAATGAAGTAATTGAAAGGTTTAAACATTGCCAACTGTGTGGGTTATCCAGTGTGTACACAGAGGCATACATGTGTTGTCTAAGAAGTAATTCTGTCTCACTACCACTGGCCAACTAGTTGATATTAGGAGAGCCAAGCCATGGTAAGGCTTATGTGGTCAGTTCTGTGTTTGTCAGGGCTTGTATGTCAGTGATGTAAGTACTGTAATACCTAGGCCGCACTATTAGTGATTTGTGTTCTGTAAAGGTACCAGTTCACCATGAAGTATCCAGCTGACACAGCCTACAGAGACAGACACTGACTGATTCCCACATGGGAAACCTCATTATGAAGTCAAAATCAAACAATACTAACAAGTAAAACCCAGATACAATATGATATAATGACATTTTTTCCTATTTCAGAATGTCTATTTGTCCATCTATCCATCCAGTATGTATGTATGTATGTATGTATGTATCTATCTATCTATCTATCCATCCATTCATTGACCCACCCACCTACTCACCCATTTGAAGGCTTCCAAAAGCATCCCATTACTTTCAACTTGGATGAATCATCAATACACTTTATAGAGACTTTCAAGAGCCACAAAGTTTCCTGGAATCCATAATGTATTAAAGCTACAAGTTTCTTAGAGAGTATCCAGTCAGTCTAACCCCTTGTTTTATATATGAGAAAACCAAGCCTTCAAAGAGAGCAATTGACTGTCTGTCCAAGGGGATTTCTGAGTATGATGTGAAATAGAGATAGGAACTGAGATGTTCTTCCTTTTAGGCCAGGGTTTCTCCATCTCAATGCTGTTGACATTTTCAACCAGGTAATTCTTAGGGCTAGGGACATATTTTGTGTATTATAGGTCAGCTCTTCCATCTTAATGTATTACACGCTATAGTCCCCTCCCACCAATTAAGACCACCAAGAACTGTCTCTGGACCTTGATGAATATCTTCTGAAGGGCAAAAATCACTCCCAGTGGAAGACAAGTAATTTGAACAGTGAATGATGGCAATCTATGGGGATTCTGGCTGTGCCATTTACCTGGAGATGTAATTTCAGCAAGTCACTTAATCTTTCTTAGCTGTGTTGCCTTTATATTTAAGGCACCTTCACAAGTTCAAAAGAATCTAAGTATGTGAGTAAGTCTGTTCCCCTCACCTCCCACCCCCGTATAGTGCCAGCTGGACAGAAGTCTGGGCCTAGCTATTATTTTTAGTATTTAAAAAAAATCAGATGTAATAGCCTGATACCAAAGTCCAGTCTTCCTTATCCAGCAAGCTCCTTTTCCACTCTGCAATCTACTGCAAATGCCACTGAGCAATCACTTTGTAGTGGGGAGTGCTCTGTGGGCAATGGTGAGCTGGGATTGTGGCCTCTCACATTTAGAGAAGAATAGTAGTGCTTGCAAGCCAGTCAAGGTTGTATTTGCCCATGCAGGAAAACAAACCATGTGCTGCTATTTGTTTGTTTCTGTCGTGTTTTTAAGCTTCCTTATCTTCAGCTGCAGGGTTCTGGAAAGTAAAATTCAATTAGTATTTATCATCCTTTGCCTAGCTGAGTAAGTCAACTCCATTCACTGCTGAAATTCATAACTGAAAAAATATGGAGCTGCCAAATACCTCTGAAGCTTTCAAGGTTTTGCAATGGAAAAGGTCTGGGTCTTTAGGGAAGTCATTTAAAAACTAGTAACAACAAATGAACATGTGTTTGTGATCATACTATGTTATAGAGAGTTCAATTCTAGGGTTTTCTCACTTGGGCTTCCTCACACACGAGAACGGTTCAAGTGCATCCCTGCTCCACATGTTTGACTAGCTGCAATTCCATAGGAGCAGAAGACCCAACAGGAGTCCAGAGAGATTTCTAGAACCTACCCCTGTCTTTCTCCTCTGGAAATGGTGAGTAGGACCTGTTCTATCGAGTCCCTTTTAGCAACCTTGGCTCAACAAGGTAAAAAGGTGCTGCCTTTGAAGCTGGTGTGCTTCAGCAGTGTGAGCAGAACGGGACAGACAGCGCTGTGGCAGATACATAGGAAATGGAGAACAGTGGCCAGGAGGGATGACCCAAGGAGACGGCCGAGGGGCAGGCTGCATCTGCTGTAGCTGGTAGCTTGCCACACTGGCAACTTCAAGGGAGAGGCAGAAACAAAGGAAGGACTCAGGAGTGGTCTTTGTGCAGCGGATTGAGATCTACAACCTCTTCTGGGGGCCAGGAGATGGGTATTGGCTCTGTGCCCACTCTTCCCAAAAGTCTTTCTTATTCTTCCTATTGCTCTACTTATGCCATTACTGCGCAGAAAGTGTCTTGTCCATGTTTCCACCTTAAAAATGTAGAATATTGCACTTTAATGAAGTTCACGGCTGTATTTGCCAACCCGGGCATTTCAAGAGATGCCATTTACCATAGCCCTCAGCTGGAACTTAGATAAATAATAATAATTTTTTAAAAGTTTGTAGAGGGCTTAAAAGGCCCTCTTTTCAAACCTCTGAAAGGATGGCTCATAGAAAAAAGTAATTAGTTTATATAGACTGTCAAGGTTCATGAGGGACAGCTGGCCTTTGATGCCATGTCTGTGATTACAGGCAGCTACAAGATAATAAAATCGAGCCCTGAACTCAAGCCAAGGTATTCAGCGATCTCACCCCAAGCATTCTGCCAAATAGAACAAACCGTAAATGCCTGTTTGTACTCCTGTCCTTTGATGAGGAATCTCAAATAAGTCTAAGACATTTAGGTCTTGCAATTCACAGGCCACACGCTCCTATTAAAGTAAAACCACTGACCTTACAAACTCATGTTCATTATTAATATTTGTGGTGGCCTCCGGTTCCTGGCCTATTCGATATGGCTACTCCAGTACAAACCACAGAATGGATTCTGGAGACGGGATCTGAATGGGTATTAACTTGTCTAATCTTGGCCATTAAATGTTCAATTACTGGCAGTCGGAGCTGGTTTTCAATCATCATCGATTTCGTGGGGGATGATCACCGGTTACAACATTTTAAGAGGATTTCCTCAGGGTTCTCAAATTCCTAGCTCAGTTTTCTCTGAGCTTTATTGAGCCCTGTCTTTTGTTGTAGATGATGCTCCAGACCCCTCCCCTGAGGGCATGTATGTACAGTGATGTTAATAAGTGATTTTTTTTTACTAGACCTTCTCCCCCCTGCCACTTTGGTTTCCAGGTACAGAGACAGATGAAAGTGGCTTAAGAAAATGACTTGACCTCCATGTTTTTAGGACCGAGGCAGGATAGACAAGGAGACATGAGGAGAGAGGTACAGGGGCCAGGAATTCAGAAGTGACATATGAATGAGAAGCTTGATTGATGGTGCAGAAGCTCTACTTTCCTCAAGTTTCCCACCCACTCCCTGCACTGCAATATATAATCACCAAACATCTCTCTCCCTCTGACCTTACCCACTCACTCAAATGATTATTACAGTGTGAGTACAGAACAAGTATATCTTAATGCAAGACACATATCCTGAGAGCAAAACATTTGTTAGAATGATTCTTCTGATCAAGAAAGTGCTTGTGAAGGAGAAATTATCTTCTGGCAAAAAATGTGGCTTTAAAGGAACAGCAGCTGATGAGCCCCATGAAACACACACCTATGTCACAATGACACAAACGGAGTGAACTGACCAGAGCTGTGACCTCTGGGCCCGCTGATAATGTCAACAAGAATGATCAAATGCACCAGGTATCCAGAACAAGGAAAGCCTTTACCTTCTACCCTCTTCTTCACATGACATTAGAGCAGTCTCTGAATCTCTTTTTCAGGGTTGTTGGCACCAACATGTGGATGTGTTCTTTCCTTCTGTTTTACTGACAAACATTCCCAGCCTCTCCTTCAATGTGTCCTAAAATTCTTTTCTGTGACAATACCTTGAACCTAGTACCTAAGGGCCAGGAGGAGGCGTCCTCTCACTTGGAGATTCCTCTGACCTCCCCTCTCTCTCCTGACCAAGTGCTCACAGCAGCCTCATCTGCAACCCAGTTGCTTTTCCCCCTCAGCATTCACAGGAAGCCAATCATCCTCTTTAATCTTGTCAATCCAGGTAGTAAATCATAGGTTACTATTATTTTGGCCACTAAGAATCAGGTGCCTACCCCAGGTCCAATCACAGTTGGGCAGAGAAGTTGGGTCATATGGCTTGGAATTTGGCCAACAGGAGCAGTAAATGATTTTTAAAATACCATCAACGTATTTGTGTCATATTTGTCGGTCAGTCACAGCATAGAGTCCTTCATATTCCGGTTTGGAGGTGCCTTTAATCTCTGTATTATTTTTCTAATAGAACAAAAAATACTGTATTTTTCTGACTTATCATACAAGAGACCTGACTTTGGTGTTCAAAGTTTTGCCCTATTGCCTTTCACAGAGGCTACAGAGATTCTGAGCTTGATATGGAGAGAATGGAATCGAACAGCTTTCTTCAGAGACTATGTCCCAGTGTCTGGACTGTGGGAGATTCATGGCAACTCAAGCTGCCTCTACCATACTTGAGGGAGAGCAGAGCCAAGTGATGGCAAGAGAGAGGAATGACTCATGGGAATAATATAGAACAATGGATGAGGAGCCCCACTGAGGATCAGAATCACCCTCAGAAGAAGACCACATAGCAGGGTATTAGGATTGCAAGTGGCTGGCGTACCTTCCCTTTTCCCACTGGAATGAATATTTCTTGAGATGTTCCTCCCCATGGCAATAATGGGTGGGAAGCTAACACTTCATTTCACAACTCTCTGGCCTGGTCCTGGTAAGACTTATGAAGACCTTGGGCTTCAAACTGTGACTGGTTACAACTGGGTGGGCATGAGCATGTTTTACATGAGGAAGGCACAAGAATGATTGTTGCTTACAGGGAGGCTGTCATGAAGTATTATTTTGATGATTCTAATGCCATCCTCCATATCCCCCTCGCTGACCCAGTCCACACTCACTCTGGGAGTGGCCATAGAGCTTGCTTCAGACTAGCAAGCTAGAACAAACTTGTCAAAGCTGCTCAAAAAACAGATTGTATACATCCCTGAACTTTTTGCCTTTCCACAATCCTGACCAGAACATGTTCAGGTTAGCTTGCCAAAAGAATACCTGCAAGAGAACAGCGACAACCCAGCCAGGGATACCCTAAACCCACCTGCGCTGACATCCCATGCACTGACCACCCAATGAGGGTGCCTTGAGCCTGACTCAGGTAAGCAGAGCTGCTCAATCAATGTACGGGCTACCCAGAGGGACTGGATGGCTGAGGTCTAACCTGTTCCAAAAGAATAGATATGCTCCAAAGTTTGGGTATGGCTGTTGCAGGGATAGGACTTAAGTGAGACATCCGGGTTAGACTTACTTCCTTACTACTGTGTTTCCAGGCAAACTTTATAATCTGGTTTAACCTCAGTCTCTCCTTCCATAAGATAGAGAGAATGATAGTGCCTATTTTCAGAGAGCTGTTGTGAACATTAAATGGCATGGTGGTTGTGTCTGGAAGGGAGTAAAGCTAATGGTTATCTAATCTTCATTGCTGCCTTGTGTCAGTTGTTTTGGAGGCAAGGCTGCAGGACTGAGGGGATGAGTTAGAGCTGAAATCCTGAAATCCACCTATTTCAGCACTTTGCCAGATGGAGTGCTGTGGAGTAGAGCAGGGTCCATCTGTGAGAAGGAGCACCTGTGTCCACTGTGCAGTTGTGCCGGGCTGGCTGCAGTCTTGCTGTTATTTCTCACTTCATTGCTCATTTTCATCTTGTTTGAGTCTAGGGCTGTCATTAACTCAGGGTCCCAGAAAACTGGAAATCTCTACGTTCAAAGGCTTCTCCAAAGCGATTTTCCAGTGGCAGTGCTCAAGCCTTTTTTTTTTTAAACCCTGGGGCTTTCCATCTCTTCTGTTAGGGCTGACCAATTCGCTCTGGTCTTCCAGGACCTTCCTGGATGTAGCACAGAATGTCATCTATCCCAGAGGAAAGCCATCTTTGTTCCCAGGCAAACCAGGAGAGTGCATCTTTTTCTTTAACTTTATTGATGGAGAAGAGCCCTGTGGATAGCCACTGGTAATCCTGTAAACACGATTTGGCCTGGAGCATTGTTTCCTTGTGAGCATTTCAGAACTCTGGGTTAGGGTGACTG